ATTTCTCCATCAAATCTGAATGAGATCCTTGCTGGGTAGAGTAATCTTGGTTGCAGGTTTTTCTCCTTCATCACTTTCAGTATGTCCTGCCACTCCCTTCTGGCTTGTAGAGTTTCTGCTGAGAGATCAGCTGTTAACCTTATGGGGATTCCCTTGTGTGTTATTTGTTGTTTTTCCCTTGCTGCTTTTAATATGCTTTCTTTGTATTTAGTTTTTGACAGTTTGATTAATATGTGTCTTGGCGTATTTCTCCTTGAATTTATCCTGTATGGGACTCTCTGTGCTTCCTGGACTTGATTAACGATTTCCTTTCCCATATTAGGGAAGTTTTCAACTATAATCTCTTCAAATATTTTCTCAGTCCCTTTCTTTTTCTCTTCTTCTTCTGGAACCCCTATAATTCGAATGTTGGTGCGTTTAATGTTGTCCCAGAGGTCTCTGAGACTGTCCTCAGTTCTTTTCATTCTTTTTTCTTTATTCTGCTCTGCAGTAGTTATTTCCACTATTTTATCTTCCAGGTCACTTATCCGTTCTTCTGCCTCATTTATTCTGCTATTGATCCCATCTAGAGTATTTTTCATTTCATTTATTGTGTTGTTCATCATTGTCTGTTTCATCTTTATTTCTTCTAGGTCCTTGTTAACTGCTTCTTGCATTTTGTCCATTCTATTTCCAAGATTTTGGATCATCTTTACTATCATTATTCTGAACTCTTTTTCAGGTAGACTGCCTATTTCCTCTTCATTTGTTAGGTCTGGTGGGTTTTTATCCTGCTCCTTCATCTGCTGTGTGTTTTTCTGTCTTCTCATTTTGCTTATCTTACTGTGATTGGGTTCACCTTTTTGCAGGCTGCAAGAAAAAAAAACGGATGGATAGAACCCTAGGACAAATGGTGAAAGCAAAGCTATACAGACAAAATCTCACACAGAAGCATACACATACACACTCACAAAAAGAGGAAAAGGGGAAAAAATAATAAATCTTGCTCTCCTCAATTTGGGATGATTCGTTGTCTATTCAGGTATTCCACAGATGCAGGGTACATCAAGTTGATTGTGCAGATTTAATCCACTGCTCCTGAGGCTGCTGGGAGAGATTTCCCTTTCTCTTTGTTCGCACAGCTCCCGGGGCTCAGCTTTGGATTTGGCCCTGCCTCTGCGTGTAGGTCACTGGAGGGCGTGTGTCCTTTGTCCAGACAGGACGGGGTTAAAGGAGCCGCTTATCCGGGGACTCTGGCTCACTCAGGCCAGGGGGAGGGAGGGGTACGGAGTGCGGGGCGAGCCTGCGGCATCAGAGGCCGGCGTGACGTCGCGCCGGCGTGACGTCACACCAGCCTGAGGCGCACCGTGCGTTCTACCGGGGAAGTTCTCCCTGAATCCCAGGACCCTGGCAGTGGCGGACTGCACAGCCTCCCCGGAAGGGAGGTGTGGATAGTGACCTGTGCTCACACACAGGCTTCTTGGTGGCGGCAGCAGCAGCCTTAGCGTCTCATGCCCGTCTCTCGGGTCTGCGCTGTTAGCCGTGGCTCACGCCCGTCTCTGGAGCTTCAGTAAGCAGCGCTCTTAATCTCCTCTGCTCGTGCACCAGGAAACAAAGAGGGAAGAAAAAGTCTCTTGTCTCTTCAGCAGGTCCAGACCTTTTCCCGGACTCCCTCTCGGCTAGCCCTGGTGCACTAACTCCCTGCAGGCTGTGTTCACGCCGACTGAAGCCCGAGCCTCAGCTCCCAGCCCCGCCCGCCCCAGCCAGTGAGCAGACAAGCCTCTCGGGCTGGTGAGTGCTGGTCGGCACCGATGCTCTGTGCGGGAATCTCTCTGCTTTGCCCTCCGCGCCCCTGTTGCTGCGCTCTCCTCCGCGGCCTCGAAGCTTTCCCCCTCCGCCACCCGCAGTCTCCGCCCGCGAAGGGGCTTCCTAGTGTGTGGGAACCTTTTTTCCTTCACAGCTCCCTCCCACTGGTGCAGGTACCGTCCCTATTCTTTTGTCTTCGTTTTTTCTTTTTTCTTTTACCTTACCCAGGTACATGGGGAGTTTCTTGCCTTTTGGGAGGTCTGAGGTCTTCTGCCAGCGTTCAGTAGGTGTTCTGTAGGAGTTGTTCCACGTGTAGATGTATTTCTGATGTATCTGTGGGGAGGAAGGTGATCTCCGCGTCTTACTCTTCCGCCATCTTCCCCCCTCCTCCTTTGGTCACTTCTTATGTCCTGTATCTATGAGTCCTCCATACGTATGAAATTAACTTTGTTTTTCTCCTGCTTTCTTTCTTTCTTTTCTTTTTTTTTCATTTTAATTGTTAGAACACCCCAATGAACCAAGTGAACTAGGGGGGAAATTTTTCCCCTCCCCAAATATATATACTATATCTCTGGCATACCATATCATTTCTTATTTCAGGCATAGGACATAAGTAAATTTCCTTGTTACATTATCTTTTATTGCTCAGGCTTCCTCACCTCCACTGGCCAGTTTTTGCTAGGGAAGAATAAACAGGAGGATTGAATGGGAGGTATAACTCATTCAATTAACACACACACACATACACGCACACAAACACAGAGTGAAACATATATCTACAGTGGTGGTAATCTGCATCTATCATTCTTCTAACTGAATATTAATTTTAAATAAATGTCACATTTAAATTTTATTTATTCTTTTGGTTGGCAGATTCTAGTTCCATATGCTTATTTCCTTTTCACTATTGCATATTAGAATGAGCTGTTCTAATATGCAAAACTGACATCTCATACTTTGTATATTCAAAAATAAAAGTCACATATTTGATGTCAGAATAGATAAGGATTTAACAAATATTAACTTAGCATGCACTTAGTTTCTTTTCAAATTCCTGATTGAATGCATTCTGAAAATACTAAACAAACCACCAAAGTATGTGGATTAGATTTCTACTTTTGTGGAGTGATGCGGGGGTGGAGTGTGGTGGGGTGGGAGTGGGACTGATTCCATGTCTCCTTAAATGGATTTTTTAATCAAATACATGAGCTTGGAGAAGTCTGGGAAGGAATATAATAAAGACTGGATAACTTTCTTTGGCAAATTCCAAATCTCTTTCAATATTTATTTTATATATATAATTTAATTTGATTTTTATTTTAAAATGTACTTTATGAACATTTTCAAACGTACATAAAAGTAGAGGGTAGACCATAATTGGTTTATATATTTTATACCAAACCTAAGCCTTTTTATCACTGTATTTTATTTCTTTTTAGTAAAATAATTCAATGTATTCAAAAGGAACAGAACTTTAAAAAAATTGAAAGGTTTTGGGGAGCAAATAATTATCTTAAAAATTATGTCTGATAAAAAAATAATTATCTTAAAAATTATGTATTAGTAAGTCCCTAGCATGTGGAGTTAATTTTCCTTTAAAGTGAATTTGAAATCACTGGAGAGATTTTTTAAATTGGCTCACTATTTCAAAGGGGAAAATTCAGGCCTACTTATATATTTGGAATCTGAAGAAGTAAAATGTTTGGTAGAAATTTAAAATTTTTAACTCATGTACTTTTGAGATTGTTTTAAATTTTTGTTTCCAAAATCTAAGACAAAAACAAATGTTATTTCAACTTATTGTTGATTTTTAAAATTTAAATTACTAAGTAGAAAAAATGTGTTTCAGAACATAAAAATAAAGCGATATAATACTATGTTTAATCATTTAATCTAATATTTTTTAATCATTATTCAGTTTCTTCAAATTAAAAAATAAAAAAGAAACTCACAAAATATTTGCAGTGTGATGGGATATACAACTCATATTACAAAACACTCTGATTTGATTGTCTATGATATAGTACATCAATAATACACACATTAAAGTATATGTATCATAGATTAAAAACATAACCTATTTTGGTTACTTTCCTAGGGACGCTATTTTGGTAAACTGGGAAATAGAAAATTCCATAATTAGTCTAACACAGTTTTGAGGAGAATGAAGAAAATTTGTATAGGAAGGAATTCACTAAAACTCAGAGTCAAAAATAATGGAAAATTATGTCCATTTGTGGTGAAGCAATTTGGAAAAGCTGGGGTTAATGCTTTTTAATTTTTTTTCTCTTTTTCTATTTATTTTTCTTTTTAAAAGAAATTGATAAGGGAAGTAGAACACTTGACTGTTGGACAAAATGTAATAATCGAAAACAATTTTAATTCTAATTAGAGAAATCAGCCAAATTTAGGAATGTGCTTTGAGAAAAACATGTCAAGATTTTTCTTCTCATCTAGGTTTCTGGCCTCTGTTTCATTAAAAAGATCTAAGATCCTCTTCTCATTTTGTTCTTTCTCCCATAGCTTCTCTCTCACTTTGCTTCTAAGAATGGTGAAAGAGAAATCCTCTCTATTTTGGCTGTTATGCTGAAGAAGGCCAGGTGTCTCCCTGTGACTTCAGAAAAGAATGTTACTAAAGAGAAAAACCTGTAACTACTATGTATTTGAGACAAAAGCATCCCCTCACCTTAAAACTCCAGATACCTCAGTAGATACTTAAAGGCATGTTAAGTGATACTTAAAAGCACTGCTCCAAACCCCACACGGGTACCTGATTTCCTAATTCTGTATGTATATAATGTCTACCAGCCTTGCAGAAGCAAGTTTTATGGTTTTAAAAAAGGTGGTTTTACCATTTATGATTTTATGGTTTTACCATAAGTTTTATGGTTTTACCATTGTACACTAAAACTTTATTTCTTACCTTTTTCTTTTTGAGGTGACTAGTTTGAAAAATGATCTCAATCAGTATTTCTATATAGATGGATATTTTGGCAAAATTAAATAGGGTCTGTGTTCTTGAAGACATGAAAAAAATCTACTACATTCTAAGTAATAAAATCTACACTGTAAACATTGGGTTATTAATATTTTAGCATATTAACATACTAAATTTATCTTTAATATGTGTGTTTCTTATATATCAGCACAGGTATACACGTAAATACTTATATTACTATTTTTGTTTTAGTCATTATATTTCTCCTCTTTTTCAGGTATTGTTTAGAGGACTCTACAGCAACCTTTGGTATTGGACATATTCAAAATCTCTTCAACTTTTACTTTCCTAGTCCAACTGTCTTCCAACTTTAACTTGCTTGCAATCCCATCAAACATTTTACATGGTTTGCAATGGTTACATGAACTTGTGGGAAGTAGCATTTGTACCATTTCATACTTTATTTATGATGGCACTTTAGGAAAAGAACTTGGAAAAAGCTTCCAAAGCAGTATTTTAAAAAAATGAATCTTGTTGTGAAGCTTCGGAGAAGTTTTCGAACATTGATTGTTCTCTTAGCCACCTTTTGCTTGGTGAGCATTGTCATTTCTGCCTATTTCCTCTACTCTGGCTATAAACAGGAAATGACACTTATGGAAACCACTGCAGCAGCAGAATGTACTGACATTAAAATTCTACCATATCGGTCAGTGGAGCTGAAGACAGTTAAACCTATTGATACATCCAAAACTGATCCTACTGTCCTCCTGTTTGTGGAGAGCCAGTACTCTCAACTTGGTCAAGATATTATCGCTATCTTGGAGTCCAGCCGATTTCAGTTCCATATGGTCATTGCCCCTGGCAAGGGAGACATACCCCCTCTAACAGATAATGGTAGAGGGAAATATATTTTAGTTATTTATGAAAATATTCTGAAGTATGTCAGCATGGACTCGTGGAATCGAGAGCTTTTAGAAAAATACTGTGTGGAATACAGTGTTAGTATAATTGGTTTTCATAAAGCCAATGAAAACAGCTCACCAAGTACACAATTAAAAGGTTTTCCATTAAACCTTTTCAATAATCTAGCTCTGAAGGACTGTTTTGTCAACCCTCAGTCTCCTTTGCTGCATATTACCAAAGCCCCTAAGGTTGAGAAAGGCCCTCTTCCTGGGGAAGACTGGACAATTTTCCAGTATAATCATTCAACCTACCAGCCTGTGCTTTTAACTCAATTACAGACAGAAAAATCCCTTTCATCATTCTCCAGTAAACCACTCTATGCGACAGTGATTCAGGATCTGGGGCTTCATGATGGAATTCAGCGAGTTCTCTTTGGCAACAACTTAAACTTTTGGCTGCACAAGCTCATCTTCATAGATGCCATCTCCTTCTTGTCAGGGAAGAGACTGACATTGTCTTTGGACAGGTATATCCTTGTGGACATTGATGATATCTTTGTTGGGAAGGAAGGAACAAGGATGAATGTCAAAGATGTAAAGGTAAGAACATTTATAAATCACATGATTATTTTTCTTTCACTAACTTTGTGGTATTGATGAAATAGAATTTTGAATATTTTAGACTTCTAATTACTCAAAACTTTACAATGCAGTAAATTTGAGATAAAATAAGCATTAAAAGTAAAACTTAAACTAAGCCTTAACCATTCCTCACCCACCCCTAAAATGCTTCAGAGGGGCATAGAACTAAAATATCCTAAAGAGTATTTGAACTTAATCTCCTTGCCTCTTTTAGATTTTACCCATCCCAGCCAGCACCCCATAGAACAGCCTCCATTACTCCACACATGTTGCAGTTTGTAGCAGTAAGACTAATACAGTCATGAAAATCTATCGCTGGACATATCCTCCTGCCCTACTTAGGTTTGACAATGGTGGTTAAAATATAAGATAGAGAAGCAGCCCAAGACTTTTATATAACAAGTAAGCATAGTGCTTGTCTATATATACATTTGTAAATATAGATATGAAAAAAAAAAGTTTTTAAGGGATGTGATATTGGACTTGACCTCAGGAGCTACCATCACTATCTCTATTATCACGTCATTTGGGGTAACACAGCAGTGTTAACTGGTAGCACTTCTAGGCTAAGGTGAAATTGGCTTCAGTATAACAAATTCACCCTGTAATTGCTATCAGATAAAGGAAAAGCCAAATATGTTTTACTAAGGTGGGTAGGTAATTCAGAGAATAATTCCCTTTTTTATCATCTTGATTCAAGATTTTCACTTGTGCCTATCTTGTTTTATATATAATTAAATTCTTTCTGTGAACAAGTAATTTTAGCAAGCATATAAACAAAAATAATAGAATACAGCTTAGAATAATAAAGGAACTAGAGATTGTTAAGATCATGTCATCTTTTTTGTATTTCTGCTGTTAGGCTTTTTATCCTCCAAGGATGAGACCTCAATATAACAGCTTTTTTTCCCCATCCTAACACCTTATGACCATTATAATAAAGTATTATTAAACCCAGTGAAATAAGTTAACTTTTTAAAAATCTTCAAATTACATGTGGACCAGTGAACTCTGTTTTTAATGAGCCACTGAATGAAGTATCACTTGACTGGGATCCAAATGTTTTATTTTGAGTATTGTTGTAAAGGGATTAAGTGATCCCTCTTGAATTCTGTCTAGATTTTTCTTTTTTTTTTTACTTACGCTTTTTTGTATTTACTATTCCTTTTAATTAATGTAAATTCTAGTTTTATTTATTTTTATTTATTTATTTATTTTTTCTTGCGGTACGCGGGCCTCTCACTGTTGTGGCCTCTCCCATTGTGGAGCACAGGCTCCGGACGCGCAGGCTCACCGGCCATGGCTCACGGACCCAGCCGCTCCGCGGCATGTGGGATCTTCCCAGACCGGGGCACGAACCTGTGTCCCCTGCATCGGCAGGCGGACTCGCAACCACTGCGCCACCAGGGAAGCCCTCTAGTTTTATTTTAATTTTAAAATCAAAAACTTAAGGCAAGGTCATGTGCTTCAAATGGTTCTCTGAGTGATTCCTATCCTGAAACCCTGAAAGGAAAAGTTTGCTAATTTTAGTCTAATAAACTGTATGAATTGAAAAAGTTCTTTATAACTCTTAACAAATTTTTCCGCCTCAAATTCAGCTCCATCACTTATTCTCAATAGAAAACAAATAGCTATTCACCACTACTCATCTAATATTCAAGGATTACTGAGGACTTCTTGAGTGACATAACCCCAAACAAAATAACAGAATACCAAAATTTAACAAAGGCTGGAATAATGCCACAGACAGATAAAGAATCGGAAAAGTTGCGTGTGTATATATATATATATGTATAGATATATATATAGTGTGTATGTATGTGCATATGTATACTAATTGTATATTCTATACACACACACACACACAAACACACACACATGTGCCCATGCTAAGTTAACTGTCACTTTGAAGAAAATACTCTTTTCTGCCCCTTTGGGTGTTGTATCTGGTTCTTGCTCAGAACTATTAACCAAAGAATATCAGAAACTTGACTGGAACTGAAATAACTTGTTGGGTTACTTATAGGTCAATAGAGAATACTGTTTTTCAATATAAAAATTATAGTTCTAGTCTTGGGAATTTGATTTCTCTTTTGACTCTTATTTTTTGGTTGAATATGATTCTGTGGGAAAGAATCTTGAACTGTGTGTAGAAAAGCTCTGCATACTACCAGTTCTTCATCCTCATGTTCCTTTTCTGGTGGTGTAAGATTTCTTTACACACTGATGGATGAGGAGAAATCCATCTTCCCTCAAAATCTCCCCCAAATTTTCCAGAGCGAGGGTATTGGATAGCTAGTGACATTTTTCTATATTATTCTAAATTAGAGAGTAGAAGTATGCTGTTCCTCAATAGAACAAATTGAGGAAAGCTGGAGGGTTAGGGTTGAAAAACCTTGGCTATGTGCATGATTGGACCTTCCCCAGGCCACTTCCACAATTGGAGTAGGAGCACAGAGCTGGGAGCAATCAACAACAAATTCAAACATGGCCTTGACTGCAGCACCACCGCACTCTATGGACAAAACATATACCCGCATATTATTATTTGAGCCAATTTTCTCACTTTGAGGTAGAGATTCTGGATCATACTGTTAAAGAATTAGTGTTTTTAAGGCACAGAATTTGATGCAGTGAAAAGAATGCAAGTTTTTCAACTGAACTTGAAAGTCCATATTCTTTCCACTACATGGTTCTGCCATATCTAAACTACAATATAGCTAGGTTTTTTTTTTTTTTTTTGAGATTTGTGTGCTTTAGCTTATTTCATCATGCCCTCATCTGACGAAAGCCACTGATATAGAAATTAATATGTTCATTTCTAAGGCAAGCAAAATTAAGCTCAGTTTCAGTAACTGTCATCTGACTGTTAAATTTCACTGTGTATCTAAAAATTCAAGATATGAGTGAAATTTAATGTATAGAAACTTGTAGAAACTAATTGTATTTTGAAAGATTGTGAAATAATGGCTATGAATGAAGTCAGAAAATATCGTCATGTTTTCACTTGTTAATATTTCTGTGTGGTCCTCAAGGCCATCATGAAAAGCTCTATTAGCAGGTTGACCTTCATCACCCTATGGAGGGTGATGTCTCATACACTTGAATTTACTCTTTCTTGGTTTTGAAAGCAGCTCTTGTTTTCATCATGGCCTTATGTGTAGGTAATGTTCATTCCCAAAGTGATATCAGTTGAGTGATAATGCATTTTTTAGAGAAAAGTAAAATAATCAAGGGCCATCCTGATTATTAAAAACTTAATTTAAAAAGTCTTCTTGCAGACCACTAACCTGATTTCTATGAACAGTGTTTTACCCTCGGTTGTTAACACTTGGTATAGTCATAGAAATTTGATAGAATTGAGAAAATATGTTCTTTTTTTCATAGTTTCCCTAAGACAGAATAAATGCTCTTTCTCGATGGTGAATGTAAGCTTCCACACTGGAAATGAAATCAAATATATTATTGATGCTATAAAGAATTCTGGTGCTTTCATCAGTTCTGTTGACCTGTCATTATTCTCTCTGTTGGCAACAAGTCACCATTATTAGCATTTTATATGTCTTTAGATTTCTTGAAGAAATGCATCCATTTATTCATTGGACATCTACTCTGTATAAGACTATATTTAAGACATTATCTGCCTGAGAAATCCAGACTTTATTTTAAGGTCCTATGTAATCCAGCTCAATTTACCTTTTCAACATCTATTCTTACTACTACTCAATACACACTGTTTCTGTTAGGCTGGCTCACGGTCTGTTCCCCTGCGATGGATTGATAGTGTTTACGTTCACCTCTTTTCTCAGCTTCTAAGCCTTCGCTAAAATACTTTCCTTGAATCTACTCATATTTCAAAAGCTATCTCAAGTCCAACTTCTTATGAGAAGGCAACAGATGCCCTAATGACCCAAGCTGAAACTGTGTCCTTAAATAATCACTGACCTTAACTGTCACTTATCATCTTCATGTACATGAGTCAACTCCAAAATTAGGTGGTGAAACAGTTTTTTCCCATACATCTAATTATGTCTCAACATATGTAATAAGTAATCTTAGACCTGATTTGAAAATATTATATTGACAATCATTACACTGTTTTTTAACTGTTTGGTGAGTGCAGAACTAATTAGTCTCAGAATTGAACTTACTACTTTAAAAATGAACAATTTAAGGATAGTTTTGAGTTTTGTCTCAAAACAAGTGATATGTATATTTTGAGTCAGAGGCAAAAATAGAGGGAAAAAAAAATCTATGTTATAAACCTGAAGTCCAAAATAAGTGGCTAGCTGGCTAATTCGTTTGACTCTTTC